CGGCGGGTGGTAGAAGTTCCAGTCAGACGAGTCGAGGGGGAAACCTAGGAAGACATACGAGACGGTGTGGGCAGTGAGCTTGTCCACGCCAGAGGCACGAACGTGAGCAAGGCAGCCCCAGACGTGGAACGCAGACGCGTCCAGGAGACCCGGTCCAGAGGAGGGTCGGCGAAACCCGTGGCCGCTGAGGGTGCAGCCATAGGTTAAGCTGGTGGGCGGCATAGCGAACAGCGAATGGCCACATAAAATGGGGTGCACCGGCATGGATCATGGAGGTACGGGCCACCTCCATGACCAAATCGATGCATCCCTCAGTGACCCTATTTTGCTGTGGGGAGTCCGGTAGGGTGTATGTCTGGGTGATGCCCTCCGCACGACAGAAGCAACCAAGGTAGCCAGAGGCAAACTCGCCACTACGGTCAGAGTGAAGACGCAAGACTGGGAGACCGCAATGCAGACGCGCAGAGACAAGCCATGGGATAAGAACGTCGGGCACGTCGGCCTTCCGCTCCAAAGGAAAAACAGTTGTGTAGCGAGTTTAGTCGTCGACAAGCACGAGGAAGTAACGCTCGCGATGTCCCATGGACGGGGGCGGGGCCTCAGACGTCCATATATAGGGTCTGTAATGGTGCGGTGGTGGGGGGGAACGAAGTGGAGTGAGGGGCATGGCGGAGCCGGCCCTCGACGCAGGGGGTGCACTGAGGCGTTGCTGAGGGGGGGAGCGCAGGGAACGACGCAGGAAAACCTAAGACAAGACCGTGCTGAGACTTGTGATGGAGATGGGTGAGAGCGGGGTGACCTAGACGGTGGTGCCACAGAAGCAACGGATGGGTAAGCGATCGACACGAGCAAGTCGCAGCATCCTAGGTAGACGCTGCCACTTGGGGGGGCGTCCCAATTGGGGGGGACGCAGTGTCTAGCGTGAACAGTCCAGACACCAGGTCCCGGGGGAACGTGGTGAGTGGGACACAAGTGGCGGCCTCGGTACAGACAGCATACCTCTCGTGACCAAAGAACGTAGTGGTGACACCAAGGTCCTGAAGACAGCCGACACCAACTTGGTTCCGAGAGAACGAGGGGATGTGAAGGCCTGTAAGAGAGCCTGATGGAACTGCCGGACAGGGGAGAGTGGTGGAACTACGGGCAACTACTGGACCTGTGGAAGGGTCTGCAAGGGTAATGGCGGCAGGGAATGCGAGCGGACTAAGCGTACTGTGGTTCCGAAACAAACACCGAGATGCACCCGAGTCGAGAGTGAAGGAGAGCGCGGCGGTGGTGGCTTGGGGCAGAGGAGCTAGCATGGAGCCAAGGCTTAACAAAGCAAAGGGTCCTACGCCTGACGCAGCAGGGGAGCCTAAACTAGGCACACTGGAGAGACCTACACTAGGCAATACGGGGTAATAGGAACCAGTCACACTAGAGTCATCAACATACAACACATACAAGGCAAAGCTAATCTCATCCATGTCCATATCAAAGATCCTAACACCACGACAGAGCAGACTGTGCCAGTCGGGGAGGTCCGGCGCGGGGCCGAAGCGGAGACGAAACAGGTCGTCCAGGCGACTGAAACAGCAACCGGGGGTATGACCGGTCTTACCACATACAAGGCCGTGGCGAGGACAGGTCTGGAGCGAGGACCTGTCACTCGCACCACCACCCGACGCCGAGCTATGCGCTCGACCACCACGACCACCACCACCACCAGCGCCAGTCCACCCAGGCGGGAGGCGGCCGACCCTCAACCCATGACAGATCCAATGGCTCGATTTCCTCGAGTCAAATTTCCATTACACCATCACCTACAAATGGGCCGCCAACAACATTGCTGATGCCCTGACTTGACCCACCGCCCATACAGTCGCCATACTAGTCGCCCAAACTAGCCCACTCCTTAGCGGACTATTTACCGACGGCTACAAAGTCGACCCATACTTCTTCTCCGCCATTCACAAACAGCATACTACCGCTGCTGGACACTACTTCAATAAGCGCGACACTTCCTGCATCTGGGTTCCCAGCTACGATTTACTTACTCTTAATCCAGGAATCCCACGACAATCCTACCTCCGGGTATTTCGGAGTCGACAAAACCATGAAGACGTTGCAGCGCAATTATTACTGGTCGAACATGGCCGACGACGTGCGCAAGTACGTGTCCTCCTACATCGTCTGCCAGTTCATGAAATCATCCCATCAGTGAGCAGCTGATGTCCTACAGCCGTTGGATCCGCCCAAGAGACCCTGGCAACATGTCACGATGGACTACGTGACAGGACTGCCGGCCTGGCCCAGCGGAAACGACGCCATCCTCGTGGTCGTTGACCGACTCACGAAAATGTGACACTTCATCGCCTGCCAACAGAAAATTACAGCTAAGCAAACTGCCCAACTGTTCATCACCAACGTCATTAGACTGCACGGACTGCCCACCGCCATTATTTCAGACCGAGACCCGAAATTCACATCGAATTTCTGGCGCCACCTGTGGGACCAATTCAGCACCAAATTACAGCTTTTTCCCGCCTACCACCCACAGACTGATGGGCAGACTGAACGAGTCAACCAAACCTTGGAGCAACTCATTCGGACTACCTGTACTGACCCACAGACATGGGAGAAATCCCATCCGCTGCTGGAATTCGTGTATAATAACGCGCCTTCCACAACAACCCATCAATCCCCATTTTCCCTAAATTACGAATAGGACCTCGAGGTACCCTCTACACCAAACATTGAGATGCCCGTGCTCCGGTCCCAGCGATTTGCCGAAGACATCATCGCAGCCTGAGAAAAAGCAGCTGAGGCAATCCGGAAAGCCAACCTGGTCGCAAGCCGACAAGCCGATCGTTATGGATGTGACGTCACCTACAAAGTGGGGGACTTGGTACTACTTGACACTCGCAACTTGCGCCTGCCGATCCCGAGCAAACTTTGACCCTACTTCTGTGGTCCTTTTCAAGTGACCAATATGGTGACACCTGTCATAGCTCACCTTCGTCTTCCGGCTGATTGGCGTCACCACCCGGCTTTCCACGTCAGCCTCCTACGGCCCTACGTTTCCAGTTCGTCGTATTTGGCACGTCAACGCATCGGCCCGCAGCTTACACCCCTGCAAGAACCGACAAGCGAGCCTCTGAAGATTCTCGGCCATCGAGTCACCACACAGAAGAAACGTCGGATGGTAGATTTTCTCATCAGATGGCGTGATCGGACGTCTGAGGATGACAGCTGGGTGCCCCTCGCTGATATAGAATCACACCCAATTCTAATAGCGTATTATCAGCGTCTGAATGATTCCGATACCTGCAGCCTCGTTTAGGAGGGGGGGGGGGGGGGGGGGGGGGGTAGAGTAAGGAATTTTTATCCCTTACTTTGTCGTACGCTAGCGTGTACACCCAAACTCCTCGACTCGTCACGTTACAACAATGTCACTCAAGCCGCTACAGGGTAGACTCCATTCTTCCTCTGTAACGGATACAACCCGCTCACACCACAGAAACTGACAGTTTCGACCATAATCTGACCTGCACATCACCACCATCCACCAGCTTTGGGATCAGACTCATAAGCGCCTCTTGAATATCCTGCTGCAACAGGAGCGCTAGGCCGATCGCACAGACATGGTTCACAGCCACACACAGACGCCGTGGCACAAGCTCGTACTCAGACTCAGAACCAGGCCCTTCCCTTTCTGTCCCCTCCCCTGCAACCAATCTCAACCCACACTCCCTGTCAAGCCGCAACTATAGCGCATTGCTCCTCACCTCGTGCTGTGCCGCAGAATGGGGGGCAGCCCGTTGGAGTGCCTCCGCCTGTTGCTGGCTGAAGAGTCTATTTTTTAGGCGCCTAAAAAACAGACTGCATGGGGGCCGTGGGAGAGGATGAGTTGCTGGTTGAAGCAGTAGCATGACTGATAGAGCAGGGAGGGCTGGCTGGAGGTATTGGACTGGCTGCCAGATTGACAGGTTGAATGGCAGCTGGAGGTGAAAAGCTCTCACCAGTGACAATTGAGGTGAAAAATCAGAGTAGCCAAGTGACTAGAACAAGAAGATACAGGGGACATATAGGGTTGGTGTTGTACCCTCTAAGAACATAAACCTATCTAGTCTATAACATCTACATATAAAAGCATATGTATAAGTTGACAAAAAACTCACCTTGAGATGTCTTGAAAGATGGTGGGCTGAAGGGTCATGGTGGGATTCCAAGGCTGATTGGCGCTGCCTTGCTGCCTCATGCCACTGCCAGTGACAGGAGCATTGGTAGCATGTAGTATCCTGGACTTGTAAAAAGTACAGCATTTGCAGCACTCGGAAAATTACACAGCTACCGATGTCCAAGGGAAGGATACAAGAAACAAGGAGAGGGAAGGAAGCTCCAGTAAGAGCTTCAGAATGAAAAGCACAGGACAGCAACAGCTGCATGGATATACTGTTATTCCCCGTATATAAGACCCGCCAAAATAGTCAGCCCATGGGTGGCATATGCAGGGGATAGCTTATGATATGGCGCATTTTTTAGAGTACCCGCTTTTCTGGGTTTGCATTTTACATAACACCCTGCTCGTTTTTCTTGCTTTCAAACAGTATTTCGTCCTTCGTTACCAAGGTCCGCTCAGCTGCAAAAGGCGAGCAGGATGAAAATCGCGTCAGGTGCCATTCGCAGCGCAAAGACGGGCAGACGAATCAATACAAGTGGCAAAACGAAATCGAAAGACAGCAAGAGTCGAGAGGATCTTGACCGTCCATCTTGCAGTTGAACCACCCCGATCACGTCAGCAGCAATGGTCGAGAATAACTCGACTGCTTTCCGAAGCACAGAACTGGCTCTGTTTACAGTACTCAGACGAGATTGGTCAACGACACCTGGCACTGCTGCTGGATCAGTCTCCCACGATTTTAAGAGGCAACGAAATGACCCTGTCAAAGTGTGCGATCTCTGTAGCAGATTCCTCAGTAGCAGTTGCTTGGTAAAGTTCTGGCCTCTAAGTGCCAAATTCATTTTGCATTTTTCCATAAGACATGGGCTTAATATTTTTCCAGCCTACTGATAACACCCATACGTTTTTTTAATGAAATTTTGACGATACCCTAGGGTGTTGGGAATACGGTACGATCTGCAACGACAGAAAGAGTAGTCCTACCATTCCGGTATTACTCCTTTCAGCAGCATGTAGTAAAGAAATGAACAGAACGAATCTGTGCGGCTTCGTCTGCGCAGTTGCACAGTTCACACAGCTCCCATCGAAATAATCTAAACCAGAAGAGTTGGTCAAGTGCCATCCCAGCCGTCCAAAAGGTTGACCTGCCATGCGAAAACGAAGAACACACGGAAAGGAAGAAAGAGAGACAAGGGAGTTTGAGGTCAGGGCGTGTCCAGCGCGTTCGTTTACTTTTCACTTAGCATATCAGGTACGAAATTTCGACCTCGTAACCCGAAATTTCGTGTCCATTCGGACATGCACGAGAAATTGACGGTTTTGGCGGACACCCTCCAAAGGTGCCCACAGACGTGGGCCGCACGTTTCCAAACCGAATGGAGATCGTGCCCAAATTATATACACGGCAGAAACGTCCAAATCCTGGCTGGCGAAAAATAGAACGCTTACATTCGCCAGGCTTTCGTTACGCTTGCGAAGCACGGCGAAAAAAAGCGGAAAAGAATAGGAATTGTATGCGCAACTCGCTTTCCGCACAGGCGAAAACAGAATTGGAGTTGCATGCGCGGAGGAAATTGTGCCCTCCATTTTTTCCCCCCTGGGTGGAGTCGCGGCTCGTAATGCGTGTTCGCGAAAGCGGGCGGGGCCTCTTTCCCGGGGCGAAATTTGGTTACCCTGCTGTTTTCGCGTGTCAGTCTGTTATGTGCGAGCTGCGCACCGGCTCATTTGTCGAGACACGGGCGGGGCTCGTGTCCGCGCGTTTTGCTGTTGATACTGTAGGTGTACCTCAACACATTCACACCTGGCGTATCAATATTTCGGCGTGTTAAAAAAACGTCAAAAACTCGTGTTGGGGCAAAATGAACGCGCTGGACACGCCCTCAGTGGGCTTTGGCACTAATAAGAGCGTGTTCCTACCAGCCTCTTCCCAGGCAACCTCTTCCCAAACTAGCACATCTCGCCTGAATCACGCCGAAGCCAAGCCCAACCTCTTCCCAGACAAAGTTGTCGGCCTGGGATGCGCGCGACACTGTACAAAGGGTGACTAGGCAACTGTGCGACTTGATGTGAAATGTTGTTGAGCTGCCCTTCAAACGAGTGCGTTTCGTTCAAACTTGATTCCGCGGTTTGTGCCGACCAATAAAAAACCACACAAACGAATTCGACGGTTCGAATTGCAGACCAGCGCTCATAACCCAAGGACAGTGGATTTGTGAGTTGTCAGCTTGGTTGGCACGCGGCGAAATGCGTGTGTACGTGGCTGTCGTCAGCGCATGCGACTGCGAATTTGTGAACAGCTAACCGGGACGTGGGCCCGCCTATCGACTGTTTTCGAAATCCGTGCGATTACAAGCGGACTACGTGGCATGCAGGCGACATGATTCGTGACCAAACGTGGTGAGCGACAGTTTTCGTACGTGACTGGGAAGGGGTGCTTGAGTTCGTGAACCTCGGCCCAAGAAGGTTTTGGGATGAGGTTGCCTGGGAAGAGGCTGGTAGGAACACGCTCTAACTCCTTCCCATCAGACCCCATCATCTCACCACGCCTCATGCCCACGCGTTTCCCATTCCTACCCATCCCTCAGCCTTGCGCATGCCCCATTCCTACCCATATGCCATCTTTACCCATGCCCCATTCCTACCCATATGCCATCTTTACCCATGCCCCATTCCTACCCATGCCCCATTCCTACCCATGCCCCTTTCTCACGGCTACCCAGCACAGTGTCAGCGCGAGCCTTCTTTTGCTGCTCTCTGCATGCAATGCCCCATCCCACCACATCCCAAAACTCTATCCCCGCATTTGTACCCCTTTTCTCATGCGTCATCACTCACCCCTACCTGAAACAGTCTATTGCCGTGGGTCCTCTTGCCGAGCTCTCTATGCATGCAAGATATTGTCCCAGCAGACCCCATTACCACACCATGCCCCGTTCCTTTTACCGTTATTCACACGCCCCTTTCCGCCTGCCCCTGTCCGGTCGCCCCTTTCTGCCCGTCTCTTTCCTCACCACACCCCATGTCTCACCGCTATCCAAGGGAGTGTTTCTCGCCGGAAATCCTCCTGGCGAATCTTCATAAGCTGCTCTATTCCTCGAGTTCCCCATCCCAGCAGCCCCCATTACCCCATCCTTATCGCACCCCTTTTCTCACCCCATACCTCACCCTTTTTTTCACCACACCCCATGTCTCACCGCTATCCGAGGGAGTGTTTCTCGCAGGGGGTCCTCCTGGCGAACCTTCATAAGCTGCTCTATTCCACTCTCCACCCTACCCCGTACCTCCTGTTGTTGAAAATTGGGCATAGGGGGGTGGGAATGGCAGGGCAATAGGCCAGTCAGGTCAGGGACGGTGGGAAATGGGACGGAGATGGTGGGAATACAGGGGCAAAGGGAACGGTTGGCGCTCTTTTTGTGTTCTATTCCCTCCTCCACCCGGCCCCGCACCGCCTGTTGGTGAAAACCGGGCACAGCACAGGGGGTTGGGAATGGCAGGGCAATAGGCTAGTCAGGTCAGGGATGGTGGGAAATTGGACGGGGGTGCTGGGAATACAGGGGCAATGGGAAGGGTTGGGCGCTCTTTTAGTGTTCTATTCCCTCCTCCTGCCCCGCACCGCCTGTTGAAGCAGGGGTGCTGCGAAATGGGCACAGGAGTGGAAAGACAGGGTAGTAGACATGCACAGGTTGTGCTTTTCTTAAGAATTCTCAAACACATAACACAACCTAGTTTAACACTCCCTCGCTTTGGCACAGGATTGGTTGGGAACGACAAAAGTAATGGAAACGGGTAGTGGGAATGACAGAGCAATGGGCAAGTCAGATACTCTTCAAATGCTCTATTCCCTCCTCCACCCAGCCCCGCACCATCTGAGCTGGCAGGGGTGGGGTGGAGGGAAACAGGCACAAGCAGCGGGGATGCCAGGGGTGTTGAGTCAACTCAAAAGGTGCCAGGGATGTTTGCATTGACTTTTGAGTCAACTCAAATGATGCCACGGGTGTTACGTTGCTCCACTCCTCCCCGCACCATCTGCACTGGCTGTAGAGAGAGCCTTTCAATCGGGGCGGGAGCCAGCAGAGGTGACTTTCGCAGTCGACAAACTCTTCTGCTGTACTCCATACTAGCTCACCTGGTATATTCTGCTGCACTCCTCCTTATTGCGCACGATACTCGGGTCAAGGTCGTCTGTGCGAATGGGGTCGCTGAAGAGGAAGTAGAGGCGCTCGGGGCGGGGCAGCAGGCCAGCGTTGGAGGCGAGGGGGAAGGGCGCTGTGTGCAAGCCGGTGGCTTGGAGTGCTGGCTTCAACCAGGGGCCGAGAGGGGACGCCATGATTTCCCTGTGGGGTAACAAGTCAGGGGGGAGCGGGGGGGGGAGGGGGGGTGGGGAAAGAAGGAGAATGTATGAGAGTCTCTCAGCAGGCCAGCTTAAGAGGCGAGGGGTAACGGCGCTGTCTGCAGGCCGGTGGCTTGGAGCGCCGGCTTAAGGAAGGGACCGGTTGGGGAGCTCATGGTTGCCCTGTGGGATAAGGAGCACCGAGAGGAGGGGGGACGGACGGAGGGAGAAATACGAGGGGGTAATCAGCAGGCATTGGAGGCCAGAGGGGAAAGCACGGTCTAGATGCCGATAGCTTGGAGTGCCGGCTTAAGAAAAGGCCCAACAGGGAGCGCCACTATCTCCCTGTGATGTCATGGAGGATCGAGGAAGGTGGAAGAGGGCGATAAAAGTGGTTTCAGAAAGGGGCTGCTGCGCATTCTCCTTTGTCGCGGTTGCGCGGATGGGCGAGGAAAAGGCTGATGCGCGTTCCTTTCCACATGTCCAAGAGCATGCATCAGCGTGTCGGAAGCGGCCATAACTCCGAAGCGAGCATGGAGGGGAGGACATACACCGCACACGATGGTAGACGTTTATTCACGGCGAAAAGGTCAGGGTGAGTAAGTAAGTACCAAGGTGAGTAAGTAAGTACTAAGGTGAGTAAGTACGTACTAAGGTGAGTTAAGGTTAACTCTGGGTGCATGGGCACATCAAAGGCATCTTCCACTCCGATCGTAGAAAACGGAACAATGGTGGCACTGCAGCGGATGGCAGAACAATGCGCCTCGCAAGGTCAGTGGTGTGACAAAGACTGCAGCTGTCACACAGTCAGAGGGGATGCTGGCACACAGTCAGAGGGGATGCTGTCACACAGTCAGAGGGGATGCTGGCACACAGTCAGAGGGGATGCTGGCACACAGTCAGAGGGGATGCTGGCACACAGTCAGAGGGGATGCTGACACTTACTCCAGGTCCATGAGCACACCTAAGGCGTCCCCTCCCCAAGCTTGATGGCGGAGAGCGGCACGATTGTGACCCCACAATGGTTTTAAGACGTCTCAAACCCAACCTTATGGCATGATTGTGACCCCACAATGGTTTTGAGACGTCTCAAAACCAGCCTTAAGGCACGATTGTGACCCCACAATGGTTTTGAGACGTCTCAAAACCAACCTTAAGGCACGATTGTGACCCCACAATGGATGGCAATGAGCACAATGTCAGTGGAGCGCCGCAAGCATTGCCTACATGAGCCTGCAAGTACCTGCCACACACTCACACCTGCAATTACTCTGGGTGAGTGTGAGCGTTGCTCGTATGAGCGTAGCGAGCACTTACTCCGGGTCCATGAGCACGTCGAAGGCGTCCTCCACCCCTATGGTTGAGAACGGCACGATGGTGGCCCCACAGCGAATCGCAATGCGCACAAAATCAGTCGTGTCGCGCCACATGAGCTTGTACTTCTCTCCTTTCCTCTTCGCAACCTCCCTGCCGCCCCCCGGGTATAACAGCATGTTCTCGCCCTCCCTCAGCAGCTGGTAGCACGCCCGAGGGGAGACCTGGGGATGAGGAAAGGAGGAGGAGAAGACATGGTTAGTGTCTCGCCACATGAGATTGTACCTCGCCCTTTCACTTCGCCACTTCCCTGCCACCCCCCCGGTAGAGAAGCATGTTCCCTCCCACAGCAGCTGGTAGCACGCCTAGGGGGACACCTGGGGGAAGAAAGCAGGAGGGAAGGAGGAGTAGAAGAAAGCAGTGACTGTCTCGCCGCACAAGCAGTACTTCTCTCCTTGCCTCCTCACCACGTCCCTGCCTCCCCCGGGTATGGCAGCATGGTCTCGCCTTCCTTCCTTCAGCAACTGAAAGCACGCTCGCAGGGAGGGCTAGGGGAAGAGAGAGGGGAAGAGACAAAGGGGGAGAAGGGGAAGGGGCGGATGCCACACCACACAACGACCAGCCGGCATTCCTCACAGCAACGGCACAGAATGAGGTGAAGTGAACTGATCGGCAAAGGAACCTTCCCTCTGCCAGTGCCATCATAATACCCTTCAGCACTCTATACACAGCCTGGCATCACCATTGAGGATCACACCCCGATCGTGTTTAGGATCTCGGAAGAATGATCACCCTGCCATCACCATCATCTCATCTGACGGCACCGTATTTTTTGAACTGTTCAGCAAAGGGACCCAGCCAGTGCCAGCAATGCTCACTCCTACCCCAGTGCCAGTGCCAGCAATGCTCACTCCTACCCCAGTGCCAGTGCCAGCAATGCTCACTCCTACACGTCACCCTGGCATTCTTGTGAACAAACACTCCCAGCACCCACCATCACCATCACCAGCGGCTCACCCTGACGGCGCCATATTTGGTGAACTTGTCAGCAAAGGGACCCTGCCAGTGGGTTGGCGCGCCCAGCCCCCTCAGAGTGACTCCCGTGCGCATGTGGATGTCGCGAATCATGAGAGGCCTGCACGGGGGTGGATCATGCACCCGGGCACGCAGTAGCACGGGGAGGAAAGAGAGTTAGCATGTGGATGCCTCGATCCATGCGAGGACTGCATCGGGATGGATCATGGATCATGGATCATGGATCATGGATCATGGATCATGGATCATGGATCATGGATTCAGGCATGAGTAGCACGGGGAGGAAAGAGAGCTGCTGTGTGGATGTCTCGATCCATGAGAGGCCTGTGAAACAGGGGCATGGCATGGCCGGGAAAGACGTAGATGTGTAAATCTAAATAGTCCCCTCAGAGTAAATGTAAATGTCGAAAGGTGGATGTCTTGGATCATGAGAGGTCTGTGGGGCGGGTTAAAGGAGGGGACGGGATGTGCATGAATCAGGAAGGGAGGCATTCAAGAGATAACGGATAAACTAGGAGTTAACTACGCAACCCCGCACCCCCCGACTATGAGAACGGATCAACTATGTAGTAATTCCTGCATCCATGTGAATGTAACGGAAACCCACATGTCATAGATGCCAAAGATGGTATGGTTGCCCACATCACATATATGCACCCACATGGCATATATGCACCCACATGGCATATATGCACCCGTTCCGCCCTCGACCCACATGTCATAGATGCCGAAGATGGTGTGGTTGCCCACAAAGAGCAGCTTGCCTTCGTTTCGAGGAATCTTCTCCAACCCTACAATGAGAGAGGCGCAGCATGGGAGCATACCACCATGCAGATGTGCATCACGCCACGAGTGCAGCATGCCATTTCCATCAGCATCAGCACATCATGAGGTGAGAACATGTGGCATGGCATGGCATGGCACGGCACGGCACGGCACGGCACGGCACCGCAAAGCACGGCACGGCACAGCATGGCTTGTGATGGGGCACAGATAAGACAAGGCGGGGCGAGCCTGAGGAGGACAGCCAGGAACACGATGGAGGCCGATTGGGTAGGATGAAGAGGGAAGGCCCCGTACCAGTATAGAGCGGAGCGGTCATGCAATCCGCTTCCACAGCCGGTACTGTGGCTATCGTCCATCAACCCCCCCAATGCCCTCCCCTCCCCATTTCCCTTCAAACCACAAAACAAAGTTCTGTTCCTGCCACGCGGTACTGCGGCATGTCGTCCATCAACCCCGCCAGGGGTAGGGGCGGAACAAGAAGACGGTAGGATGGAACCCAACATCTTATCTCACTCACACGTACCGACATATCGTTTATCATTCCCGCCAGGGGTAGGCAGATAGGGTATTTCAAGAAAAACGGTGGGATGAAACGTACCGATATAGAGGGGCCGGGCGATCCAGTTCCACACGCGGTACTGCGGCATGTCGTCCATCATTCCTTCCAACGCCCTCCCCACCTCCCCTGCTGCCACCCTCCCCTCCACCGACCCCATATATTTCTTCCCTTCCTCGCTAGCTTGCTCCCCCACACCCCTTGCTTCCCCTTTCTCCACTCGCCCCTCCCCCCCCTTCCCTTCTCTCCTCCCCAACTCCGTTTCCCTCCCCAGTTGCTTTCTCCCAAGCTCCATTTCGTTTCCCAGGCCTCCCCTCGTGCCTCTTCCCTCCTCGGCCTCTGTCAAACCAGCTCCCCCAGCAGCACCGCCACTCTTCCCAGCCCGGATAGTACCCGCAGCTTCGGAAGCGCCACCAACAATCTGCTCACTATCAGCAGCTCTATTGCTTGATGCTCTATTGCTTGCAACAGCACTGGTAGCACCACCAATGTTGCTGGTGGCAGCTCCATTTTTAGAAGCGGTGGGGATAGTTGCTGGAGCTTGGGCAATAATACCCAAAGCCGGGGAGTTAGCAGCAGCTTGTGGGAACATCCAGCCAGCCCATGCAGCATCCCCTTTCCCTTTCATCATCTCAAAGTACGCATCCAGTCTCAACCCTCGCTTGAGCCTTTCCGGTGCCTCAGAGCTCTGTCTCAAGCCTTGTTTCAGCTTCTTATCTTGCAACCATGGATTTTCGTCCTGTATGTCGTCCTGTTGACCTTTCGATACTACCCTGCCTTCTGCCTTGGTTTGAGAGCCCTCCTCGTGCTGTCCTACGCTGTTTTCTCCCTCACGTTTCTCCCCTTGATCTTCTCCGGAGCTCATACTCCGGCCATCGTCCCGCATATCCCTTCCCCCTCTCCCCGGCTCCCCCCTCTTCTTGTTCCATTCCTGCCAGCTGCTCACCATTCCTCCCTCTCTTCCCCCCAATCTCCGTTCTCCCTCTACCCTTACCCCTCCCCCTCCCCCTACCACTACCCCCCTCTCCTTCCGAGCCTGAGCCGCCCGAACCTGCGACCATTCCCGAAGCACCACCTCTCCCCGAGCCTCCTCCTGCTTCCGAGAAACTTCCACCCACACATCTCCCTCCCCCTCGCCCTCTGTCCGAACTCCCCCCTCTTCCAGACTTGGCAACACTCCCCCCGGCTCTGCTGCAACTGCTATTGCTTCTGTCGCTGTCGCAACTGCTGTCACTGCTGTTGTTGCCACTCCTGCTACCGTTGCCACTGCTGCTGCCGCTGCCTCTGCAGCAGATGCAGAGGCACAGGCAGCTGCAGCATGCAATGGCACAGCAGAGGCAGAGCTATCAGGTACCGCACCAAGCCCCATACCCGTGTTGACATCTTTGCTTATACCAAGCACAGTGTCCACGTCAGCATCGTCCCAGTCCTTCCCTTCCATGCTGAACTCGCCTGGATCACTACCGTACCCTTCAGCCTCCACTCCGCTCCCTGAAGTTCCACCTGAACTTTCACCTGAGCCTCGACCTAATCCACTGCTCGCACCACCTGTATCTTCTGCTGCACTGCCAGCTGTGCTGCTGCTAATACCCTCCGTGGTAGTCTCAGTTCGATTTCTGGAATAAGCAACCGTGCTAGTGCCAGCCTCCGTCGTACCCGTGCGCTCCGTGGTAGCCTCGGTCGCGGCTTCCACTGCAGACGCAGAATCGATCCTGCTGGCCTCGTTGCTGCCGCGCTGCTTCCCTCCTGCCTTTCCATCCTCGCTATAAGCAGGCTCCGCTTCTTCGTCATCGGAAGCAGCAACGGGGTCTTGAGGGAAGGCAGCTGATGGCAGCAGAATGCCACATTCCTCTAGAACGTTCCGGAGACAAACGCCGGACTGGTAAAGGGGGGTGAAGGGAGGGGGAAGGGGGTGAAGGGGTGGAGGAAGCAAGCACAGATATGGGGCACGTTAGAAGCTGAGGGACGGCATGATGAGGAAGTTAGAAAGGGGATGGACGGAGCAAGAGTGGGGGAGAAATGGAACAAGAGTGGGGCACTCGCGTATGGAGGTCGTCCAGAATGTCTTGGGGTGGATAGAACGGAGAGAGCTAAGGGGACGGGTGTTTGAGGAAGGGGGAATGCGCGAGCCACAACAGGCTACGTGGCTAGCAGAGGTGAGGAGGACGAGAGAGAGTAGAACCAGCAGGGCTGGCAAAACAGGGAGGGAAAGTGGTTTGAGTTCGAGACAAGCGGCACAATCTGATGCTGGGAAAATCGAGGTGCCTTTTGACTCGGCTCGAAACGAGGCGACTTTTGAGTCGACTCGAAAGTGGTTGGAGACAAGCGGCAGAATCTGATGCTGGAAAAATCACCTCGCGCCAAGCAGCGTGCCCAAAGAAGGGCGGGATCTCGATGCAGAAGGATGAGGAGGAGAGACCACATTTGAGGCTCCTTAGAAATGGATCGCACCTCGAGCAAGGGGGTGTGGCCGGAGAAGGGCAGAATCTTGATGCGGCACGATGGGATGCATGTCGCCAAACCGTACGCCTCCTCCACTGATGGCATCAGACGGTCCTCCCCACTGCGGGTAATGGGGTAATGGGGCAAGGCAATGGGGCAATGGGACAATTGGTCAATGGGTCAAGTCAAACAACCGATGGAACATGTGTGTGTGTGCAACTCATTGTATGCATGTTGATAGAAAATGTAAGGTTGACTAGCTCAAGTGAGTACAACCTAGTTGGAGCTACATTTGACCAAGCCCAACACTGTTAAAAGCTTTTGAAAGTAGGAATGCGATGAGAGGCAAACTAGTTGGAGGACCGCCATTTGACCAAGCCGAGCATTATTGGAAGAACCAATAATGGTTGGGTGGCCATCACATAATCGGTCACAAGTTCTCTGCGTCTGATAAGCAGATGACTGAACCCTCGTTTTCTGAGAATGTAAGTGTGTGTGTGAACAGCGCGTTGCTGAAGTGGAATCCAAGCTTCAAGAAAAGAATGTGTTGGAACTAGTGGTCACAGAGGTTAGCATAACAATCTATCATCCACAATTTCGTAAACGACACTATGATAATGTTTCCACAACTGGTTATATAATGCCACGTGATAGCGTGGAAAAATCTGGGGAAGAGTTGGGAAGGAGCTTATTTGATGAAACTATGTATGCTGGAGACTCCAACAGTTGTATACCACATTCAGCCATTTTAACGATGAATATATATCTGTATCCACTGAAGTTCCATGCGCAAGATTCAAAACTTATAGTTTGGCCGGCGTTTGTACTGCCAATATACATGCACGAAAAAGATGTTGCCCGGACTAAACCTGTTGCGTCCTCTACCTCTGTGAATTCCGTGCATCTCCACGGTACCCCGGGTGTTGATCGCCGTGATCTAGCATTCCCCAAATGTGCATTCGACCTCTGCTGCTGTCATTCATATTTTCTTCATGCACAACTGAACTTCACTACACTGCCATATTGACAGGCCTCAAGTTCAAAGAAACGCATTGAATACTCTGAGACAGAGGGATGGGTCCATAATCGCTGAAGTACAGCTCCACATTTCACAGAAGGAGAAAAGATTCCAAATATTTTCGTCGAACATGAACCCAACTTCTGTCGCAGAGTATCTAATGCGGTTCTTAAAACTTGGGGTCTATCATACAAACGGAAATGTGGCGAAGATCAATTCGACATGGAGAAAATATGTTTGATAGCAGCAGCGATCGAATGCATACCCTAGGGAATGCTGGATCACGACGACCAACCCCCGGAGTACCGTCGAAAAGCAAAGAAGTCACAAGAGCAGGAAACGCACGCAGCGGACCTAGTCTCGGCAGCACCTTCCTCATGCATGTCTGTAGCAGTACAAACGCTTGCTAAACAACAAGCATTGAATCCTGCAGATTTTTTTTTTTTTTTTTTTTTTTTTAAACGCAAATATATATTCAATTGTTACAATGTCTTAATGGGTTAAACAAATAACCATTGGAGCCTCCAGCGTACATAGTTTCACTAAATAACCTCCTTCCACTTCTCCAAGTTTCTCCATGCTATCACGCGGCGTCATAATCAGTCCGTGGAAACATTATCATAGTGTTATAGACAGGTTTACAGAATAGTGGATGATAGGTATAAATTGTTGTTAACCTCCGTAACCACGGTTCTGACACATTCTTTGGATTCCACATCGACGCCCCGTTGCTAGCTGTGCTTGGCTGTGGCATGGCGTTTGAACGGTTGTAGCAAGGCCGTCGTGGATGGCAATGCATGTTGCAACGAGCCTCAACAGATTGCTGAGACGTATTGCATTGTGTTGTGTCTTGTTTTATTGAGCTGTATCTTGTTGTATTGAGCTATGTCGTGTTGTGTTGAGCTGTGTTGTGTTGTATGATCTCAGATCATCTCTCGAGGAAATGTCGAGGCCTCGAATCCTCGCCGAGGCGGGGCGAGGAATCCTCGCGAGGATTATTTCCTGAAATCCGGCCTCGACCCCCGGAATTTCGAGGCGAGGATTTTCGAGGCGAGGAAATCCTCGCCTCATTGCTCATGTCTAATGATCTGGTGTTTTGTTGAGGTGTGTTGTGTATGTTTTTTGCCGTGACAGCTGTAGCACACCCAACTTGCAATCACCAGTGTGTTGGCTGTGATGGAGTGTAGCATGGCATCAGATGGCTGTATTGCACCCATCTTAGAAATTGCTGCTACAGACATAGTGCCCTCACCTGGCAATGAGCAGAGTACTGGCTGTGATGGACTGTAGCAGGGCGTCGGATGGCTGTAGCGCCGCCATCATGGCAACGCGACGCGACACTGTAGCTGGGGAAAGCACTTTGGTGCTGCAGGAGGGAAGGGGTGAATGGGAAAAAGCGGGTGGAGGAAAATGAGGGAGTGATGAATCCAAAGGGGTTGGAAGGAACAAAAAATGGTGTCAGGGGTTGAGTATCATGGCTTGCTTGCAAGACTTAGGATTCCACGTGGGTATTCAACTTTCCACTATGCTGCAGCAGGGACTCTCTCTCCTAGTGTGTCCTCAGGGTTTCGGGTTTAGGGCGGAGTGACGAAACTACTCTCAAGTGGTACCCCTCTCTCTCGCCCCTAGACTGTCCCACTCCGCGAGGACAGGAGCGAGGGAACACGAGAGAAGCAAGGAACGGAAGCACCTGAAAGCCTTCAGTCACCTGAAGGGCGGAGTGATGAAGCTCCTCTCCCTCTCCCCCAGGCTGTCCCAGTCAGAGAGCAGCGGCGCGAGGGCGAAGGAGGAGAGCTGGGCGAGAAAGGGAATGTCGGGCGCAAAGGGCGCCTGGGGCACGGGATAGGGGAATAGGGGAATGCAATGGGAGAGGTGGGGAGGGTTGGGAGAAAGAGAGGGACAGGAAAGGGGGAGACAGTAAACAAAGAAGACGGGACTTAACTCACGGCAGTTATCTACTAATATACCATGCTTTCCTTGTTTTGCTTAGCCCCCCCCCTTACATGGAAACACGCAGGACTGACAAGATATCCGGAAGTGGGGGGAAGGGGAAGTACGCGGCAGCTACCAGAGGAAGGGGAGGGTGTGGGGGACTATTGGAGGAGAAGTCTCACCAGCAACGCCCCCAGTTGAAGTGCTGGCTGGCGGCGAAAGCCGCTGCCACTGTGAGATGGTAAGAGGGTGGGGATGGTAGGGACGGTAGGGGGGTGGGATAGTAGCCATGGTAGGGGTAGGGATGGTAGGGGTTGGGACGGTAGGGGTTTGGGAAACTGACATGGCACGAGATATTGTGAGTAAATGGCTGAGATGCAGTGGGGTAAATGGGGACCGGTGGGAGGGATGAGAGGGGTGGAAGGGATGAGTGAGATGGAAGGGATGAGAAGGGTGGAAGGGATGAGTGAGATGGAAGGGATGAGAGGGGTGGAAGGGATGAGTGAGATGGCTTTGGCATCTCACAGTGGCAGAGAGAAGGATTGAAATCGGTCATGGGGCATGGGGATATCTTGGAATGGGAACATGGGGATACCTTGGAATGGGAACATGGGGATACCTTGGAATGGGAACATGGGGATACCTTGGAATGGGAACATGGGGATACCTTGGAATGGGAACATGGGGATACCTTGGAATGGGAACATGGGGATACCTTGGAATGGGAACATGGGGATACCTTGGAATGGGAACATGGGGATACCTTGGAATGGGAACATGGGGATACCGTACACGGCACGTTGGGGAGCAGTACATGTGTTCACACACACGCGCACCCACACTTCAACGCGTGTGCACTCGCATGCACACGTACACCGTACACCCCATACACGCACACACCTGTTGCAGATGACGAGGTGGGAGACCAGGTGCGGGTGCTTAGCAGCGAGGCTGAGAGCCACCCCTGCGCCAAATGATTCTGCCACCACTGTCACCACAGGCGCTGCTACTGCTGCTGCCGCTGCGGGTGCGGGTGCTGTCGCTGCTGCTGGTGCTGCCGGGGAGGGTGCCCCTGCTGCAGGCCACTCATCATCCGACGCGTGTCTCGCTGCTCCAGCAGTCACTGGTGCAGCTCCAGACAGTAAGGAGCTCTCGCTTCTGACAGCACACTCGTGAGAGACGACGCCAGCCGCCCTGCAGTGAAATGTGGGTGGAAGGGTTGGGGGATGGGGGTTTGGGGCCTGGAGGGTGAGGGTGCGTCTGCTGGCGGCCACTCATCATCAGACACGTATCTCGCTGCTCCAGCAGTCCCGGGTGCAGCCCCAGAGGGTAAGGAGATGTCGCTTCTCATGGCACACTCGTAAGAGATGAGGCCAGCCGCCCTGCAGTGCCATGCGGGTGGAAGGACGGGGGTGGGGAGGGGGGGTGGGGGGAAGGCGAGGGTGAGCTTGGTGCGAGAGATGAGGTGCAGCGACCTCACAAGAGACCCACGAGAGACGAGCCCAGCCGCCCTGCAGTGCCATGCGGATGGAACAAAGCCGGTGAGTAGGGGGTGGGATGGAGAGGGGCGGGCGAGGGTGAGCTTGGTGGGACCGATGCGGTGCGGCGACCCTCACAAGAGACACATGCGGATGCGGGTCGAGAGGGGGCGCAAATGAGCGATAGAGACAGAAAGAGAGGACGTGGAAAAGGAAAAGGAGGGGGAAAAGGAAGAGGAGGGGGAAAAGGAAGAGGAGGGGGAAAAGGAAGAGGAGGGGGAAAAGGAAGAGGAGGGGGAAAAGGAAGAGGAAGGGGAAAAGGAAGAGGAGGGGGAAAAGGAAGAGGAGGGGGAAAAGGAAGAGGAGGGGGAAAAGGAAGAGGAGGCGGAAAAGGAAGAGGAGGGGGAAAAGGAAGAGGAGGGGGAAAAGGAAGAGGAGGGGGAAAAGGAAGAGGAAGGGGAAAAGGAAGAGGAGGGGGAAAAGGAAGAGGAGGGGGAAAAGGAAGAGGAGGGGGAAAAGGAAGAGGAGGGGGAAAAGGAAGAGGAGGGGGAAAAGGAAGAGGAGGGGGAAAAGGAAGAGGAGGGGGAAAAGGAAGAGGAGGGGGAAAAGGAAGAGGAGGGGGAAAAGGAAGAGGAGGGGGAAAAGGAAGAGGAGGGGGAAAAGGAAGAGGAGGGGGAAAAGGAAGAGGAGGGGGAAAAGGAAGAGGAGGGGGAAAAGGAAGAGGAGGGGGAAAAGGAAGAGGAGGGGGAAAAGGAAGAGGAGGGGGAAAAGGAAGAGGAGGGGGAAAAGGAAGAGGAGGGGGAAAAGGAAGAGGAGGGGGAAAAGGAAGAGGAGGGGGAAAAGGAAGAGGAGGGGGAAAAGGAAGAGGAGGGGGAAAAGGAAGAGGAGGGGGAAAAGGAAGAGGAGGGGGAAAAGGAAGAGGAGGGGGAAAAGGAAGAGGAGGGGGAAAAGGAAGAGGAGGGGGAAAAGGAAGAGGAGGGGGAAAAGGAAGAGGAGGGGGAAAAGGAAGAGGAGGGGGAAAAGGAAGAGGAGGGGGAAAAGGAAGAGGAGGGGGAAAAGGAAGAGGAGGGGGAAAAGGAAGAGGAGGGGGAAAAGGAAGAGGAGGGGAAAAGGAAGAGGAAGGGGAAAAGGAAGAGGAGGGGGAAAAGGAAGAGGAGGGGGAAAAGGAAGAGGAGGGGGAAAAGGAAGAGGAGGGGGAAAAGGAAGAGGAGGGGGAAAAGGAAGAGGAGGGGGAAAAGGAAGAGGAGGGGGAAAAGGAAGAGGAAGGGGAAAAGGAAGAGGAGGGGGAAAAGGAAGCGGAGGGGGAAAAGGAAGAGGAAGGGGAAAAGGAAGAGGAGGGGGAAAAGGAAGAGGAGGGGGAACAGCGAAGGGAGGGGGCGAAGGAGAAGGTGGGAGGAGGTAAGGGAAGGGAGGACGGAAGAAGAACGTACATACATGTACAGCTGGGCGGCACTATGCCAGCCGCAATCAAAGCACAGAGTGGAGACAGGGTGGGTGTGGCTTTTAGAATTTGCAAACACAAAGCACAGGGTGGAGACAGGCTGGGTGTGGCTTTTAGAATTCGTAAACACAAAGCACAGGGTGGAGACAGGCTGGGTTGTGGCTTTTAGAATTCGTAAACACAAAGCACAGGGTGGAGACAGGCTGGGTTGTGGCTTTTAGAATTCGTAAACACAAAGCACAGGGTGGAGACAGGCTGGGTTGTGGCTTTTAGAATTCTCAAACACAAAGCACAGGGTGGAGACAGGCTGGGTTGTGGCTTTTAGAATTCGCAAACACAAAGCACAGGGTGGAGACAGGCTGGGCCTCGTCCATCACGTACAGCTGAGCGAGCTGGTCGTAGGAGGGCGTGTCAGAGGCGGGGATGCAGAGGCAGCGGATGTCGTAGCAAGGCTTTAAAGCCACCAGATGAGGCTCCAGGAATATGCCCTGGCATAGAGGCGGAAGAAAAAGGATGAAAACAGAACAGAGGGCAGGAAATGGTGGGTTAGCTAGTGCTCCAGGATCAAGTCCTACATGAAGGATGGGTAGGGGAGAAAGGTGTGAGATGAGGCGAAAGCAAGGCGAAAGCAAGGCGAAAGCAAGGCGAAAGCAAGGCGAAGCAAAAGCAAGGGTGGGTGGTGGAAGCGGGACAGAGGGAAGGAAGCGAGATCAAGGCGATAGAGAGACCGGAAATGAGGTGGGAAGCACCAATCAAACAGCCCTCTTTGCAGCCACGTGTCTCCCTACTGCTCCCGGGCCTCGTTCTTTCCTTGCCATGAATGAAATGATGAAATGATGAAATGAAACCCATCCACCAATCCAGAGCATCACGAAGCAAAACCCTGAGTCCCGCCTCGTTGATGCCAGCAATAACAAGAGCTTGTCCCCATATCCTCCCATCTAAATCCGAACCCTCGCTAGAACCCTGGCGTAAACCCTCACTAGAACCCTGGCGTAAACCCTCGCTAGAACCCTGGCGTAAACCCTCACTAGAACCCTGGCGTAAACCCTCGCTAGAACCCTGGCGTAAACCTTCACTAGAACCCTGGCGTAAACCCTCGAGCCCAGTGACCGTGCCGTCAAGGCCATTGATGTGCACCACCAGCAGGAGCAGGTCTCTCCTCACGCCATGGTAAACCCGAAGCCCGCATTAACCCATGATAACCTAGTCCTTGCAGGTTATCCAAGGATGGCACGGTCAGTGGGTTGGTGCCATCCAATCCAAACCAGGGATGTACACCAGCAGGGGCAGCTCTCTCCTCACGCTGTTCAAACCCTAAACCGCCAACCAAGCCATCTCCCCCTTACCATGCCCCCTTACCGTGCCATCTCCCCTTACCATGCCATCTCCCCTTACCATGCCATCTCACCTTACCATGCCATCTCCCCTTACCATGCCATCTCCCCTTACCATGCCATCTCCCCTTACCGTGCCATCCAGCCCAGGGAGATAGACCAGCAGGGGCAGCTCTCTCCTCACGCCGCACGGCGCCAGGAATCGCGGGCCGTCTTTCGCGCTGCTGCCTTCCAGCGCTACCTGCACCAGATCGCGCCCGCTCACATCCCAGATCAGCCGCTCCACGTCCCCGTTTGAACCAGCCCCGGTATAAGCAGCCCCGACAGATCCCCCCTCCGCTCCGCTCTTTAGCCTGTTCGGAGATCCCCGTCCCTCCGCTTCCGCTGATCTCTTCCCGCGCGCCTCATCTTGCGCCTCCGCGGCTTTACCAGAATCATGTTTCCCTGGTCCTTTCCCAATGCTGCCTCCGCCTTCCGCGCGGGCGTCCGCGCCACGAGTAGCGCCAATTGGACCAGCCCTGCCCCTGGGAATGCCGATTCGACCGTTTCCGCCTCGATATCCGCCCCGTGGTGATATCCTATTCCGACCAATCACAATTCGCCGACATCCCGAGCTGTATCCCCCTCCAGCGACAGAAAATCTGGCGGTAGAAGGCCTAGTTACAATATCGCATGCGCTAATTCCCGCAACGAGGCTACCAGTAACGAGACGCGATCGATTGCCTGCAATTGCAGTCGTGAACGGACGACACGGCGAAAAGAGCGGAGAGATCATGACAGGCGACGATCGAATAGCGGGCGCACATGGAATGATACGTCGATCTTCGAGGCGGGAAATGTCTAGACGAGAGGGAAAAGCCACGCATGTCAGCGCGCGTGCTGCTTCCATGGCCGCCCCATGCCCTTTGCTGCCACTACGGAGGCTCCACCAGTCAGTCCCTTGATGCGTGCTCCTGCTCACTCCCCGTCATGGTGGTGTTTCTCTGGTCTCGTCAATTCTGTCCTCAATTTCGTCTCGATATCCACCATAACTAGCTTCTAAAGTTTGTGGCTTTTACCTTATTTCCTCCTCTAACTAATCGATTCATCATATCTGTTCCTCTATCGAATATCTTCATTTTCATTTTATAATTCAGCTCGTAAGCTAATGCATTCACTCTTAAGATACATTATTTCCATCATCATAGAATTCCTCATGAAATAGGTTCCACATACTAACGATCATACTATTGCAACCGTTATTAGCGATGCTACATTGTTTTTATTTTCAATAATGGTTGCAACGTTTCGTACTCGATCATCGATTCATCAACCCCGAATGCGGCACTGCCAGAAATTCCGCTGATAAGCGCGCAAGGCAAACGCTTCGGGTGGAAGCACAGCTGTCAGTGGACGAGAAGAAGGATTTGTTTATAAGAGTCATGTTCTTTTCAGGGTAAGAACAAAACTGTCCTTGGACTCCCACCCAGGATTTTCCAGTACTGGTTCCTAATCGCAACCAATATAAAGAAGAGAAAGAAAAAATAACTTCCCGGTAAGGGTTTTTCAAATCGCGTGAAACAGTCCCGTAGGCTACACTTTGAGATATGTTTACAGGACAGCTTTGGTATTTCTGGAGAAGGTTCCCAGCGGTTCAGCTCAATTTTCCATGTACAGAAATCCGGGGCGCTGTTCAGCTCAATTTTCCCCGAAGCGCTTCTGGTGAATTTTTCGTTGGCATTGCCTATAGCAGAGGCAAGATGCCTTGCATTGCATGCATCGCATTCCAACTGTCGCTTGTCCCCTACACAAGCCTCTGTTCTGTTCCTCCTCACCCTGGTGGGCAACACATGTCGTTCCGTGCCTGTCAACCACTACATCACCCCGCGTTATCTCCCCGCCCTATTGCGACGCTGCACTCTGGCCAATCTTCCGTAACAATTCATTCAGCTGACCCCCTTAGCGCGAATCCTCACCTCTTTCCCGCGTTGTCACGAACCGCCAGCCGCACACACTCAATCGTCGTGTCTCTTCGTCCATTCCTTGATGAGGTGATGCCTGTGGGTCCGTAGCATGGTAGATTCTATCTGACATAAACTTGGTCGAACAGGGCTCAAAACGCCGAATGAGTTGGCGAGCTGCTAGAAATACGAATCCAAGCTTTCCCCATCGAGAACAGTTGTTGTAACCTTTTGCGACTGGGCAATATTTTTTATCAGGCTTCACTCGTTCATCTACTCAACGACATCGCAATTACAAGATGCCACGCGGCAGAAGAACGTGACGCAGTGAGCATTGGTAGTAGCTCCATCACGGTGAGCATTAGTTGGCTATCAGTGACGCAGTCACGGTCAGTACTAGTAACTGCATCACGGTGTCACGCCCGTGAAATTCGCCACGGCGTCACGGTATCACCTTGAGCGGCGGGCTCCGCCGTTTCTCGGAGAGCGGTATCACGAGAATGACGATCGAGCAGGATTATGTTGACGAGGGAAATGGTCGGCTCGGCGTCGCCGACGACAAACAATCCGAGCCGTACGGTTCTGTCAATTCGAAGGAAGCAGCAGAAGCAGCAGAAGGCAAAAGGAGGTGGTTCGACTCCGGCCGAAACGGCAGCTGGAGCTTCGCCGGGTGGCGACGACTCAAAATCGCCGACAGCAATGATGCGACGGAAGCGACGGAAGCGACGGGCCCAGCAGCCGACGCGGGAGCTGGAACCGCCGCGGTACTACCGAGACTACTAATCTCCACATCTTCATCACCCCGCAACAGCCTCGGGAGAAAGGGCGGCGGCGGCGGCGGCGGCGGAGGCGGCGGAGGCGGCAGAGGAGGCGGGGGAGGAGGAGTGTGGGAGTCAGCGGCGTGGCTGTGGGTGTGGTGGCGGCGCGACCTGCTGCTGATGAGCACGGCGTTCCTCTTCTTCTTCGTGGCGTTCAACGCGCTGCAGAACGTCGCGACGAGCATCCACGGAGAAAACAACCTGGGAGCATTGTCCATGGGGGTCCTGTATGCCGTGATCGTGGTTTCTGCTCCGCTCGCGCCGTTCCCGATTCGATTCTGGCGCGCGCGCGCCGCGATTCTCGTGTCGCAGACAGGGTTCTGGGCTTTTATCGGGTCCAACGCGTTCACTATAAAGTGCGTGGTACAACTGCTGACATCTCAAAATTCCAGTATCAGAAATACGGAGTAGGTATACAGTAGGTATGGCATAGGTACGTCTGCTACGGAGTAGCCTTGCTATACGAACAACTATACCTTAATATAGGAGAGATCCACATTTTTGTGATGGACTGGCGGGTGTAGACTGCTCAAAATCGCAGACCTTAGACGGGTCTCGTTTTACATAACGAGACCCTGGGGTTGCAGGCTGCGCGGATCCTACTCTTTGTGGGAATGCTTCTTCTTTCCTCGTGGGGAGTTGTGGGGTAGTCCTTTCCTCCCTTACGACTCGTTTAACTCGGCATACCCCACAACTCATCACTCCGCACCACACCCCACCACACCCCACCACACCTCTTTATCTGCAGGTGGCTCCTGCTGCTCGCCTCGTCTTACCTTGGGGTCTGCTGGTCGGTCGTGTGGGTGGCTCAGGTAACTGCCTCGATCCACACAACCTGCATCACTTCTCTGCCTTCTAGAGCTTCGCCCAGTTGTCTTGATGACACGTGTCTGACGTTGTCTAATATGGTTTTCTCGCTCGCACCCATCATGTTGTCTTGCCTCGTCCTACCTGGGAGTCTGCTCTGGTCCGTCGTCTGGTTTTCTTTGCTCAGTTAACTAACCATCTCCACAGTCCGAAATGCTTCCAAGTGATTTAGATGCGGTTATCACCCGCTCACCCATGTCGTCATGCCTCGGCGCTTGTATAATGCAC